GGTCAGCTGTGACCAGCAGTGCTGCAGAATTTGAAGAGGCACGAATGGAGGACAAAAGTGAGAAACATGTCAAGAGGAAGGCGCATCAAGCCAACCCCGACCGTGACCCTTTGACCTGGAAACCAATGCCCTCACTGCGAGAGGAGATGCAGATCAAGAATAGGGTTCCACAGTCACCTACGACCCACCAGACTATCCTACTCGGAGAACAAGGGATCACCTAAGTAAGTAAGTAAGGAATTTTATACCACTCTAAGGTTACATACCCTTGGTGCCATAATACAGACTTGCTACTCTTTGACTATTGTCTTTTGCCCACACGCTTAAGAAGTAAGTCCCATTGGTGTAATTTTATTCTCAAGTGTATATGCTTTAGGAGTATCCTCACATTATTATTTTTTTTAGCAGAGTACAACAAAATTACATTTTAAAAGCAACGTAACTAGTAAGAGCAAAATTCCTCTCTTGGTCCTACAAGCAACACTTTCTGGGTAGTAGTAATAATAATAATAATAATAATAATAATAATAATAATCTTTATTTATACCCCACCACCATCTCCCCAAGGGGACTCGGAGCAACTTACATGAGGCCAAGCCCGACAACACATCAATAAAACAACACAATAAGCAAAAAACACATATAACTCACATATAAACAGTAACACGCAAGGATTTAAAAAACCTATGGTATAGCCAAAAGTTATCATTAAGGACATTTCAAGAGGCTTTTAAACAAGAAATATTCCTGCCTTATGCTATTTCTTATCTATTCTAATGAGCAGTGTAACACATTATGCACAGGAATGTCTTGATTTCATCCATCATTATCATGCCTCATAGGAACAGGTTACTTTAAAAAAAACTTTAATAAATAGCAAAACAAATTGTTTTTGAAAAGGGGCTGCCAAGCTCTGATTCTGGATTGATAAATTCCCAAATAAAAAAGCATGAATTTGTATATGTGGTGTTGAACAGATATTTCAAATTTGTCCTGGCCTTGCCTTGAAATATTTAGATAGCTTGGTATCAAGATATCCGAAGCACAGCCTACTTTCATAAGAAAAGTTTGGAGCAGCCGTAGGTTCCTGCGAAGATCAGGAGGGCACTGATAGGAAATAAGTATTCCTGGAGGACTACTCTCCTGAGCAAAGTTTTCCAGAGATTGTATCTCAAAGATTAGGTTGAGTCTCTTCACCGGTACTTTGCATTCTAATCTTTACTTCTTGTTGTGTTGTCTTTTAAGCTATTGTATGTTAACTAGTGGTCTAAAAACCCCAAAGGCACCATTATCTGATCTTGGATCAGCTCTGGTTAGGGCTTGGAAGGGAGATGGCCAAGAAATACCAGGTGCTGCCAGCTACATTTCAAAGGCAGGAACTGGCAAAACCTATTCTCTATTCTTTACCTAAGAACTCTATTCTTTACCTAAGAAAACCCTATGAAATTCATAAGGTTACGTCGACAGACTATTTGAAGGCATACGCACATCCACATTCATGTTATTTCTTTATTTACGACATTTATATGCTGCCCTTCTCACACTGAAGGGGACTCAGAGCGGCTAACAAGATATATATATATACACACACACACACACACACACAATATATATTATTAGCATAGTACAATATCAGTATTAAATATTACTATATTTTACTATACGATTATATTGTAATATTATTTGTAATATTACATGTAATATAAATATATAATTATAATATATTATTATTATTATTATTATTATTATTATATTGCATTACATTATAGTATAAATATTATATGTATATACAATATATTATATTATATTACATTACATTATATTATTAGACTACCACAGGAGACAAGGTGGAACTGTCTTCTGCCCCCCCCCCCTCACTCTGGCCCAGAGCAGCAGTCGATGCTGGGGGGAGGGGGTCCCCAACTGATGACATCTGCAGGAGACAAGATGGAACTGTCCTCTGCCCCCCCCTCACTCCGGCCCAGAGCAGCAGTTGATCCTGGGGGGAGGGTTCCCCAGCTGATGACATATGCAGGAGAGAAGATGGAACTGTCCCCTGGCACCCTCTCTTTTCACTCTGGCCCAGAGCAGCAGTTGGTCCTGGGAGGAGGGGTCCTCAGCTGGTGACATATGCAGGAGACATAATAGAACTGTCTTCTGCCCCCCACCCCTCTTCACTCTGGCCCAGAGCAGCAGTTGGTCCTGGGGGGAGGGGTCCCCAGCTGATGACATATGCAGAAGACAAGATGGAACTTCCCCTATGTGGTGTAGAGATTTTAGTATTGGGTGACCACTCTGGAGACCAGGCTATGAATGCCCACAGCCTTAAAAACCTACTGGGAAATCTTGGGCAAGCCACACTCTCTCAGCTTCACAGGAAGACGAAGACAACATCTCTGTGAACAAATCTTGCCTTGGAGTTGCCATTAATAATTACAAAACCAGCATGTTATCCAGTTGCTTAAATATCTTAGCAACACAAGATCTCAAACTTATCTTGAAAGTTAAATGGGTTCAACTGTGTATAGTACTTGGATGGGAGATAATCAATTAGTACTCGGTACTGTAAGTTATATTTCTGAGGAAGGAACTGACCAAACCTCCAACAAATATAGTGAGTATCTGTTCTTGAAAGAGAACAGATCTGGGAGTCTTCATAAACAACAAGTTGAACATGGGTCAACAGTGTGATGCAGCAGCTTAAAAAGCCAATGGGATTTTGGGCTTCATCAAAAGGAGTCTAGTGTCTAGATCGAGGGAAGTCATGGTGCCTCTCTATTCGGCTTTGATTAGACCCCACATGAAATACTATGTCTTATTCTGTGCACCATGGTTTAAGAGAGAGAGATTGACAAGCTGGAATGTGTCCAGAGGATGGCAACTAAAATGATCAATGGTCTGGAGACCATGCCCTATGAGGAGCATCTTAAAGAGCTGGGTATGTTTAGCCTGGGGAAGAGAAGGTTGAGAGGAGACATGATAGCCATGTATAAATATATGAAAGGATGCCATAAGGAAGAGGTAGCAAGCTTGTTTTCTGCTGCTCTGGACACTAGGACTTGGAGCAATGGTTTGAAATGACAGGAAAGGAGATTCCACCTGAACATTAGGAAGACATTTCTGACTGTAAGAGCAGTGGAACTCTTTGCCTCAGGAGTGTGGTGAAAGCTCCTTCCTTTGGAGTCTTTTAAGCAGAGGCTGGATGGCCATCTGTCAGAGGCACCGGGATTGTGGCGCAGCCCGGCTGAGTGTCACCTGCATTAAGATCACTCTGACCAAAAGGTCATGAGTTCGAAGCCAGCCCGGGTTGGAGTGGGTTTCCAACCAATTGTGTGTAGCCTGTTGTCGACCTTTGCAACCCGAAAGACAGTTGCATCTGTCAAGTAGGAAGATAAGGTACCACCTTAAATTGTGGGGAGGCTAAATTAACTGATATATGAGGCCATAAAGAAGACTCCAGCAAAGCATTCCAGCGGGGAAGCATGCGGGGAATGCGGAAGTGCTTCATCAGTGTCGCAGATGGACGATGAAAGCGACAGCTCCCCGGTGGACAGAAAAGGTTAAATAGCCTCTGTGTATGTCGGTATGTCAAAAATTGGCATTGAATGTTTGCCATATATGTGTACACTGTAATCCGCCCTGAGTCCCCTGTGGGGTGAGAAGGGTGGAATATAAAAGCTGCAAATAAATAAATAAATAAATAAATAAATAAATACTATGAACCTTCTAGGAATCTGAGATCATCCGAGAAGGCCCTGCTCTCAATCCCACCTGCCTCACAGGCGCATTTGGCGGGGACAAGAGACAGGGCCTTCTTGGTGGTGGCCCCTCAGATGTGGAACTCCCTTCCAAGGGATATTAGATCGGCCCCCTCCCTCCTGACCTTTCAAAAACAAGTAAAAAACTGACGTTTGGAGTTGCAGCATAACCAGTTAATACAAAATCGTAATACAAACAAGAATGGCTAAGACCATGTAAACGGATGAGGAATTTGGATTGGTAGACATTGGTGTTTTTTATTGACTTTTATAGTTTTATAGTTTTTATGGATTTTAGTGAAAACCTGGTTGTTTGAGCAGGTGTTCAAATAATTAGTGCAATGAAGGTAATGAACATAGGATTGGAACAATGGATGACGGATCTGGATCATGTTTTTAGTGATGAGATGCTAGCGAATGGCTATTGGTGTTAATTGTATATTAATTGTATACTTTTCTATAATATGTTATGATGTTAACTGTTTTTTATACTGTGTTATGGTATGGAATTTCTGCTGTTCTTGTTGTGCACCGCTGTGAGTCGCCTAAGGGCTGAGAACAGCGGTATACAAATAAAGTAAATAATAAATAATAATAAATAATTGTATATGTATTTATGATGTGTATTAATTGCTTTTATTGATATATGTATTCTATATGGTATCTAATTGTTGCTGAGCTGTATGTTGCCCTGAGTTGCCTTTGGGCTGAAATTGGTGGGATAAAAATGTCGTAAATAAATAAATAAATACTTTGGACTAGATGACCCATGTTGTATCTTCCAACTCTATGATTCTATGATGGTGCTGACTTCTTACCACTAGGCCTGCAATTGAATTTTAGAGAGACTTTTGGGCAGTCTGCAAGAATGAAGCAGGTGAGTCAGCGAACTTGCACAGCAACCTAAAATGTGTATGCACAACCACTCAGAAAATAAGTGAGAACCATGAATATCCAGGGCAGCATTTACATTTGCTTTCTCGTTCCTGACTCTTGTGCATCCCAGAAGGTTCTTGTGTTTGTGTTTGTGTGATATATCTCTGGACAAGAGAAGCAGCCGCTAGGTTATCTACCTTACTGAATCACCCGGAATGTGAAGGTGGCCTTCAGCCAGCAAAGGCTCACTGAACAGGATAAAATTTCAGTCCGGATTTAAGGGAAGTTGTTCTGAGCAAAAAATCTGGTTTGGTGAGTTTGGGAGCCGGAGAGAGACAACCTTGCTTCTGTGAGGAGGGGGAGGCGGGCTGGAGAGAAAGCCTTGGAGAAGGGAGGCAGAGACCTGACACTTCCCACCGGGTCCCAGTTTCGGCCTCAGACCCTCCTTGTTAGGAGGCCAACAACCTTTTGTAAAGTTCTGGAAGCGGAATAGCTTAACTTAAGGCTTTACGTCTGGTCAGGAATTTAGTCTAACAGATTGCCTCCCGATTAGAGCTCATTTTAGCACTTTTGGAATGTGTCCTTTGGGCCAATGAGAGGGCAGGCTTTTTGCTCAGCTGGTTCCACTAATTGCAAGTTTCTCCCTGGACACATTTCCAGTCTTCAGAAAACTCCCAAAGGCCAAGACTGAAGCGTGGGGGTTAAAACGCAAGAGATCTGTTGTAGCTAGTGGCATTGTACAGGGGAGTTGCTCAATACTTCTCATCTGAGCAGGCCATTACAAAAAACAACAAACCAAAAAAAAAAAACCCAACCCAAGCGAGAAGATGCATTAGCTGGCTGCCCAGAATCTCTTCCTTATTCCAGTGAATGCTGCTAAACTGACTCCAGGCACGCACTCCAGGTAGGTGAACATTTTTTACTGCCTTGCTCTACAGATCTTTTTTTCTAAACTGTAAATACACTTCCTTCTGAGTGTGAATTATTTTTGCAAGACTCAAGGGCAGTTGGGGGTATGATGTTTTTAGAAGGGGCACCAGCCGACTCCTTTAGCTCAAGCTGTAATGCTTTCGAAAGGAATAAATCAATTTTTTGTCTCGCCTTGGTGAGTAAAAGGGAATTCATCGTATTAAAGTCAGGATGAAACCTCTCATGAAGACAGTGCTGGAAAAAAAGCAATGGATCTGGGTTGTTGTAGGTTTTATGGGCTATATGGCTATGTTCTAGAAGCATTATCTCCTGATGTTTCGCCTGCATCTATGGCAAGCATACCTGACAACCTCTGAGGATGCTTGCCATAGATGCAGGCGAAACGTCAGGAGAGAATGCTTCTAGAACAGCAATTCTCAACCTGGCGGTCGGGACCCCTGGAGGGGTCACGAAGGGGTGTCAGAAGGGTTGCCAAAGACCATCAGAAAACACAGTAGTCTTCCCTGGAGACTAGGACACAGAACAATGGCTTCAAACTACAAGAAAGGAGATTCCATCTGAACATTAGGAAGAACTTCCTGACTGTACGAGCTGTTCAGTAGTGGAAGTCTCTGCCCCAGAGTGTGGTGGAGGCTCCTTCTTTGGAGGCTTTTAAACAGAGGCTGGATGGCCATCTGTCAGGGGTGCTTTGAATGCAATATTCCTGCTTCTTGGCAGGGGATTGGACTGGATGGCCCATGAGGTCTCTTCCAACTCTTTGATTCTATGATTCTATTTTCTGTTTTGTCATGGGGGTTTGGTGTGGAAAGTTTGGCCCAATTCTATTGTTGGCGGGGTTCAGAATCCTTTTTGATTGGTGGTAAACTATAAATCCCAGCAAGCTCTATTTCTCCAAAACTCCACCAGTGTTCACATTTGGAAATATTGAGTATCTGTGCCAAGTCTGGTCCGGATCCATTATTGTTTGAGTCCTCAGTGCTCTCTGGATTTAGGTGAACTACAACTCTAAAACTCAAGGTCAATGCCCACCAAACTCTTCTCGTATTTTCTTTTGGTCATGGGAGTTCTGTGTACCAAGTTTAGTTCAATTCCATCATTGGTGGAGTTTAGAATGCTCTTTGATTGTAGGTGAACTATAAATCCCAGCAACTACAACTCCCAAATGATAAAAGCAATACACCCCCCCCCTCACCAGTTTTCAAATTTGGGTGTATCTGGTATTTGTGCCACATTGGGTCCAGTGAATGAAAATAATTTCATGGTTGGGGGTCACCACAACATGAGGAACTGTATTAAGGGGTCATGGCATTAGAAAGGTTGATAAACACTGTTCTAGAATATGGCCATATAGCCCGAAAAACCTACAACAACCCAGTGATTCCAGCCATGAAATCCTTCGACAATACAAAACAATGGATCATCTGTTGTGCCGGTGTGAAAAGAAGTATCTCTTTAAACACTGAACTTGTTTATAATTTTTCAAGGGCCCTTCCACACAGCCATATAACCCTGAATATTAAGGCAGAACATCTCACAATATCTGCTTTGAACTGGGATATCTGAGTTCACACTGTCATATATTCTAGTTCAAAGCAGACAATGTGGGATTTTATTCAGCTGTGTGGAAGGGGCTCAAAAGTCAATCCCCAATACACCGATGGGATATTTTTGCCTGATTACGAAGGACAATTCAGATCACTGGATTTTTTGTAAAGAACTCTATTACTAGAACCAAGGAAAATATTTGTTCTACATTCATTTTATTATTTAGTTATTTCGAGGTTTTATATACCAACCCTCTCACCTTCAAAGAGGGATTCGGACCGGTTCACAACATGTGTGAATGCTTTGTTGTTGAGTGCCTCCAAGTTGTTTCCAATTTACAGTAACCTTATCATGGGTTTTCTTGGCAAGTTTTGTCCAGAGAGGATTTGCCATTGCCTTCCTCTGACGTTGAGAGAATATGACTTGCTCAAGGTCACCCAATGCATTTTCATGGCTGGACAGAGATTCCAGTCCTGGTCCTCAGGATTGTAGGCTAACACTCAGGACCCTTCTACACTGCCATAAAATCCAGGTTATCAGAACACATAATCTGCATTTGAACTGGATTATATGAGTACACACTGCCATATTATCCAGTTCAAAGCACATAATCTGGATTTAATATGGCAGTATAGATGAGGCCTCAGATACTATGCCACGCTGGTGTTTATTTACTGAGGATCCTTCCAGATAGGCCCTATATACCAGGATCTGATCCCAGGTTTTCTGCTTTAAACTAGATTATGTGTCCCCACTGCCAGATAATCTGAGATAAACAGAAAACCTGGGATCAGATCCTGGGATATAGGGCTTGTTTGGAAGGGCCCTGAGAGGTACATCCTATTTCTTTTAAGGCTTGCTCTCTGGTAAGCATCCACATATTATATTATATTGGTTTTGCATTTTATGTATTTCATTTTCTGATTTTGTTATGTTTTTGTGTAATATTGTGTTTATCGTACTGATGGGCGTGGCCTCATGTAAGCCGCCCCGAATCCCCCTGGGGGAGATGGAGCGGGGTATAAATAAAGTATTATTATTATTATTATTATTATTATTATTATTATTATTATTATTATTATTATTAAGAGTTTAGTAATGTTTTGAAAACAATTTACTTAATTATTATTTTTATGTTTATTTATGCCTTGCTTTTTCTCTCCACAACGAGATTCAAAGCAGTTTAATAGATTATTTTAGTGAATACTCTTGCAGCAATCGTTTGATTTGAGTGAAAATGTATTCGACTGTAATTCCTGCACAGCAACACTATCCATGCTTCTTACCAAAGACATAGTGTATAGGATGGGGCTATACAATCCCATTGGCTACAATAGGATTTAGACGGCTATAATTTCTTTTCTCTGGAGCGTGTGGGTGGAGTCGGACAGACATTTTCAAAGAGGAATACGTTACATTAGTTACTCCTTACTAATGAAAATGTTTACAAAAATATTTTTGTAAACATAATGAAAATGTTTGCAAAAATATTTTTGTAAACATAATGAAAATGTTTGCAAAAATATTTTTGTAAACATAATGAAAATGTTTGCAAAAATATTGTAAATACACTTTAATTAAAACGTTGCAAACATGTCATGGAGATAGGTATATTTTCACCATGTGCTCTGCATTCTGCTTTGACATCCTTAATACTGACGTTATTTAAAGGTCATAGAAAATTCAAAATTCAAGTGGGTTTGGAAGCATTTTGAGTCAAATGCTTCTGTCGCTATGAAGCTTTATGTATTGTTAAAGGCTTTCATGGCTGGAATCGCTGGGTTGTTGTAGGTTTTTCGGGCTATATGTCCATATTCTAGAATCATTCTCTCCTGACGTTTCGCCTGCATCTATGGCAAGCATCCTCAGAGATTGTGAGGATGCTTGCCACAGATACAGGTGAAACGTCAGGAGAGAATGCTTCTAGACAGAGGCGGCCCTAGGTAATTTTCAACAGTAAGCAAACAGTATCCCTCCCCCCCCCAACCAATCACTGATATATATTTTCTGTTCGTCGTGGGAGTTCTGTGTGCCATATTTGGTTCAATTCCATCATTGGTGGAGTTCAGAATGCTCTTTGATTGTAGGTGAACTATACATCCCAGTAACTACAACTTGCATATGTCAAGGTCTATTTTCCCCCAAGAGTGCCTCAAGAGCGCCCTTGGGCAAAATCAACTATACTGCAAATGCTTACTTTGCGTAATTGGTTGAGCCGCCCCTGCTTCTAGAACATGGCCATATTGCTCGAAAAACCTACAACAACCCAATTAAGTTTTCAGCTTTTCTCCCTTTTGAGTTTTCTTGGACAGTCACGCAGCATGTGCTTTGAAAAAAGAAGAAGCTAAATGCTGAACTTACACGATTTTATGGGGAAACAAAACTGTGTGAACTGTTGCAGCAAATATGTAGCAGGTTGCTATATGCCAATTCTTTCCAGAAGTTCCTGCTTTCTTCCTCCTTTTTTTTTGCATGGAGATGAGGACTGCAGGTCCTCACAGAAGCAAGGATAGTTTGTAAATGAAACTGGTTTAAAACTGGAAAGAAGACTACAATGTACGTGTTTTAAAAAAGGAAAATGGGAACAGAATTATCTTGTTGAAAAAGCTTCCTGCAGAAGGGCAGCCTAGTAAAGTTGTTCAAGCAAAATTAAATGGCTGTCTAAATCTAAGCAGAAGGGGAAATGTTCCTTTTTGGTTTTCATCCCCGCCCATCAATCTTATTTTTTTCTTGCTATAGGATTACACAAACGTAGAACTGGCAGCTTAATCTGCAAGGCACATTTATGTAAGATTTAAACAAAAATTAAAACCATTGTATACTTTGAAAAATATCAGGTTTAAAACTCATGCATTTTGCTTGCAGTGATTGATTTTATCTGGACTGACAGGCTGATCAGACAGAACTGGGATCTGTTTCTGAAACTCCGGGCCCTTCCACACAGCCCTATAACCCAGAATATCAAGGCAGAATAATCCACAATATCTGCTTTGAACTGGAATACCCATATATTTAGCCTATAAAGCCCTAAACCAGTGCTTCTCAACCTGAGGGTCGGGACCCCTGAAGGGTTGCGTGGGTGTGTCAGAGGGGTCGCCAAAGACCATCCTGAAAACACAGTATTTTCTGTTGGACATGGAGGATCTGTGTGGGAAGTTTGGCCCAATTCAATCATTGGTAGGGTTCAGTATACTCTTTGATTGTAGGTGAACTATAAATCCCAGCAACTACAACTCCCAAATGTCAAGGTCTGTTTTCCCCAAACTCCATCAGTGTTCACATTTTGGGCACATTGAGAATTCGTGCCAAGTTTGGTCCAGATCCATCATTGTTTGAGTTCACAGTGCTCTCTGGATGTAGGTGAATGACAGCTCCAAAACTAAAGGTCAATGTCGGCCAAACCTTTCCAGTATTTTCTGTTGGTCATGG